ACTTTCTCGTAACACAATAATATTACATCTCTTTCTAGGTGTCCAATCTACTCTTTTATTTGATGTCATTGCTTCTTGACTAAATATTAAAAATTTTTACAAAAATTCCTACTTGTAATTGCAGTGTATAAGAAACAGGTCCTCCTTCTACAGAACAAAGCAAAATAATGAATTGTTTCAAGTGTAAACATGATGTCGGCTTCTACTGGCAGTTACTAACATTTGATTGGTTCTCAGAACAAGAACAGTGATTGGCCAGGAAAGTTAGACATTACAAACCACTTCATAACTGTGTTTTTTATTTATATTAAATTACATATAACTTTTTTTGTATTGCAAATAATTGAATTTTGTGTTTTGTATTGAATTCAGTAATAAATTCTCTTTAAAATGATATATACAAGTTTGCATTTTGCGAAACGTAACATTTTCTATAAGCATACAAAGTTCAAAAAAATAAAAATTTCCAAAAGTGTCCACAATTTTGGCCACCACTGTAAATATGTTACGCTTTGTAGAGGACAATACGAAGCGGTCTTAGAAATGCAAAACACTCAGCCAGTTTAAAAGTCGCTGAGTTTATAATCAAAGGTTCGTTGAGTTAATCGAAAATACACGTTTATAAAAAGTGGACCTCGTAGGTTGGTTTTTGTGAAATCTTGCATGACAGTGTTTTGAAGGTTAAGTTTCCCGAATTTCGTTAAAATGGGAATAAAACTGTAGCTCTGTATGAAAGACAAACGCAAGGACTCTTCTTCATTTATATAGATTTAGTGAATATTATTGTATTTTTGTTTTCATTTGTTTACATTTCGGTTTCCTTTTCCTAGCTTTTGCTTCAACTCTTTTTAATTTGTGCCTCCCACTTCTGCTAAATAGCTAAATGATAATTTGCTAAATAGGTTGATATATTTTTACTTCTTTTTTATAAACACCGTATCCATAAAAGTCTTTCCCCGACCTTTAGCTTCTCTGCCGTTTGTCACAGACATATACTTCCAGTTCCCAAAATTTTTTAAAAGACGCAAAGATTCATATTTTGGAATTTTTAAATTAAAAGACATCAATTTTGAAAACAATTACGAAGGCTAACATTTTACACACTTCTCGATTCCTTATATTTAGAATTTTTTTTTACTCGTTATAAAAAAAAACCACAGAAAATTTGTCTCCTGTATGACAAATATTGACCAAGCTATTTGATACTAAAATCGGGAATCATATTCCGAGGCTGTATGTAAATTGAAGAGAGAAAAGTTTACATGCATAAATAACTAAAAATAAAATATATTTCCAAAAATGCTTTCTGATGTGAAGAGATTGTGTGATGAGCATTTCTGTTGAAACTATTGTGAATCATTTTAATCAACATAATTTTTTTCGAAATGAGGATCTTATTCTGAGATCTTATTTATTTGAATTCATATTCTGAAAAACATTGACACAATTCAGTACTGGCATGTAGCTAACTTGTAATATTATTCGCGTTAATTACAAACGAAAAATATTTGCAATTTAAGGAATTTTTTTCCAACAGCAGATTATGATTTAAAGTAATAAAACTTCATCAGAATATTAATATAGTAGTTTTATATTTTGAAAACTTATAATTACATGTGAAAAACACAAAACCACACCAACCGTAGCAACATTATTATAAAAAAAAAAAAAAAAAAAAAAAAAAAAAAAACCTGAAAGTGTTCATATTTTAACGATCACCTAAAAGGATTTGTTATCCGTTCGATGCAGCGTTAAGTCTTTTCTCAGTATTTTCAGTCTTTCTTCAGTTTATCATAGTCATGTTGAGTTTTCTTATTAAGTATTTCTTATTTTTTATTATTAACGTTTTGTGTCTTAACTTTATTTATTAGATATTACGTTCTTCGCATTCACGTCACATAAACTTCAATTCAACAGCAAAATGACCAAATATTTAAAAACAGCATATCTTTAGCATTTCCGACAGGCAGTCTCGGGCGCTGGAGATAAAATATTTCATTCCGTGTAGTGTTGCCACTGCTCGCTTTCAAATCGTTCAGTTTGTTAATAAAAATCTATTAAAGTTTTACAACGTATGAAATACAAAATTCGAAATTCAAAATTCGGGCTTCCCTGTGGACATATTCGGGTAGACAATAACATTTTTCAAAACTTAATGGCTCTAGATACCGCCGTTTTTTTCACAATGCGAGGAACATATACACTGAAGTGACAAAAGTCATGGGATAGCAATATGCAAATATACAGATGGCAGTAGTATCGCGTAGAAAATGTATAAATGCGAAGTGCTTTGGCAGGGATTTCATGTGTGTTCAAGTTATTCATGTGAAGACGCTTTGACGTGATTATGGCTGCACGACGAGAATTAACACACTTTGAACGTGGAATGGTAGTTGGAGCTAGACGCATGGGTCATTCCATTTCGGATATCGTTAGGGAATTCAACATTCCGAGATACACAGTGTCAAGAGTGTGCCGAGAGTATCTAATTTCAGGCATAACATCCCACCATGGACAGCGCAGTGTCCGACCACCTGCACTTAACGACCGAGACCAGCGACGTCTACGTAGAGTTGTCAATGTTCACAGACAAGCAACACTGCGTCAAATAACCGCAGAAATCGATGTGGGACGTACGAGGGACGTGTCCGATAGGACAGTGCGGCGAAATTTGTCTTCCTTGGGCTATGCCAGCAGAAGACCGACTCGAGTGCCTTTACTGACAGCACGACATCGCCTGCAGCGACTCTCGTGGGCACGTGAGCATATCGGTTGGTCCCTAAACGAATGAAAAACGGTGGCTTGGTCAGATGAGTCACGATTTCAGTTGGTAAGAGCTGATGGTAGGGTTCGAGTGTGGCGCAGACCCCACGAAGCCATGGAACGTTATTGTCTACCCGAATATGTCCACAGGAAAGCCCGAATTTTGAATTTCGAATTTTGTATTTCATACGTTGTAAAACTTTAATAGATTTTTATTAACAAACTGAACGATTTGAAAGCGAGCAGTGGCAACACTACACGGAATGAAATATTTTATCTCCAGCGCCCGAGACTGCCTGTCGGAAATGCTAAAGATATGCTGTTTTTAAATATTTGGTCATTTTGCTGTTGAATTGAAGTTTATGTGACGTGAATGCGAAGAATGTAATATCTAATAAAATAAAGTTAAGACACAAAACGTTAATAATAAAAAATAAGAAATACTTAATAAGAAAACTCAACATGACTATGATAAACTGAAGAAAGACTGAAAATACTGAGAAAAGACTTAACGTTGCCAAGTTGTCAACAAGGCACTGTTCAAGCTGGTGGTGGTTCCATAATGGTCTGGGCTGTTACATGGCATGGACTGGGTCCTCTGGTGCAACTGAACCGATCATTGACTGGTTGACTGGAAATGGATACCTTCAGCTACTTGGAGATCACTTACAGCCATTCATGGACTTCACGTACTCAAACAACGATGGGAGGTTTATGGATGACAATGCGCCATGTCACCGGGCCACAATTGTTCGCGATTGGTTAGAAGAACATTATGGACAATTCCAGCGAATGATCTGGTCACCTAGATCGCCCGACATGAATCCCATCGAACATTTATGGGACATCATCGAGAGGTCAGTTCGTGCCCAAAACCCTGCACCGTCAACACTTTCACAATTATGGACGTCTATAGAGGCAGCATGGCTCAATATTCCTGCAGGGGACTTCCAACGGCTTTTTGAGTCCATGCCACGTCGAGTTGCTGCACTTCGCCGGGCATAGGAGGACCGACAAAATATTATTAGGAGGTATCCCGTGACTTTTGTCACTTCAGTGTATAGATACATGCAGAGTCTTCATTATTTAATTTATTTAAAAATAAAACGGGGCGATGGTATTTGGAGGCAACAATTTTGAAAGTGATCTGCCGTTTATAGTAGATGACGCAAAATCCCGTTTCGAGACTAATAGCAAAATCGAACTAACGCCATTTTGAGCTAATAATGACACTGTTAATCATAAAAGAATATCATCAAAGGGCATTTAAGAGGGGAAACAATCAACTTCCATTAATTCTAATTATTTATTAATCACCCCCTCGATCCAAATTGAAAATGACCCTAAATATCGCAACTTTTTTTATTTAAATGCCTCAGGTAATTTTTGTAGTGCAGGAGCAAAGAATATGTATTGTTAAGAAGGAAAGCTTCGCAGCAGCAGGAGTGGCTCCCTTCGAACGAAAGGGGAAACAGCTGCGCATGCTTAAACTATCTGTCGCCAAAAAGCGCCAAAGCTCGAAGCTGATGTCGAAGTTCGAACAGGTTCGACGGTCACGTTTATCAAGAGTTTAAAGCTGTGTGACTCCACCATCCATATTCATGGATATAAAATCAGACATCAAACTGCGATATGGATAATGCAAGTTAAACAGCCAGTGAACGTGAAACTTCACCTAAACTTTCTTATTCATCTTAATTCGTGTTCCTCAATTTCCTGTACACGTGACGAAGGAGGAAAATCTCCGCCATGTACAGTCAGTGATAAATAGAGTCCCTGAATAGAGTCCTCTTTTAAGTCCTAATGTCCAGTACATCACAGAGGAGAAAATTCTTGCCAACAGGTTCCGTCGCCAAATCCCTTGGCGAATTGTCCCTCTTCTTTCTAGCGGCGTAGAAGACAAATTGGTTTACATTACGTCTATGGAGCCTTTTCTTCTTTACAGTTCTTTGACAGTAGTGAATATTTTGTGTTTTATTTTTTATGATGAATAAAGTTTTCCTAAGTATAAAGACCGGAAGAAGGTGCCAAAAGTTAGATTTCGTATAGTGTACATTTTTTTTTTTCCCCTCAAATTTAAAAGTACGAAAGCAGGAATCTTTGCGTCATTCAAAAGATTTTTGTAATTGAAAATTTACAACCAGTCTTTGCGAAAATAGGGGTTTGTTAAGAAATTTTTTTGACAGAAAAGATATGTGTATGTAGAAACTGCTAAAAAACGTTAATATTTCACTTACTTTCACATCTTTGGTATCTCTCTTCGTATCCATCCGGACATGTACAATAACGATTAAGCCAGCGAAAAGAGCAAATTTGATTAGGTATTTCACACTTGCATCCTGGAAATATCAAAATCGGAAATAAAAATTTATAATTCATAACATGAAGATTTTTAGTTTCTTTTTAATACCTTAAATATTTACTTTATTCAACTTACTTTGGCAGACGCCTTCATAATCGGCGTAACCATAGTTGCATATACATTCTCTCCTTCCTTCCACATATTTGCAGCCTTTGCCTTTTGGTCCACAATCACAATCTGCAAAAGAGTGGACTTTACAGTTTTAAATATGTTTAAAGCATAGCAGGAAAAAAATCTTAAAGTTTTCCGGTTTTATATTACGCCCAAAGGGTCTTTTTCTCGTATTGTGTGTTACCGTTATATATTAAATATCATGTTCTCCGCACTTAAAGCATAAAATTTCAATTCAACAGCAGTTTTACAAAATAATATTAAAAGAGGATATCTTTAGAATTTTCGATACACAGTCTCGCGCGGTGGATATAAAAATGTTTTTTTGTTTGTTTGTTTCCCGTTCAGTAAATCGGTAAAATCGCTTTGAATAATCTGAGTTTGTTAATCAAAAATTTGTTAAAGTTTTACAAAATATGAAATAGATAATAAAACAAGTTCCAAATTCCAAATTTGGGCTTCTAGATGCCCATATTCGGGTGGAGACGTACGTTATTCAAAATTTGATAGTCTAGGTACTGTTGGTTTATCACAATCCGAAAAACATACATACATTCATGCAAATTCTTCATTGTTTAATTTCTTTAAATATAATACAGGGCGTTAACATTTGGTGGCAACAATTTGAAAAGTGAAGCGCCGTTTATAGCGAAGCGCCGCAAAATGCAAAAGGAAATTAATAGCCCTTCTGGGCTAACACCCTTTGGACTGAAAAAAAAAAAAAAAAAAAAAAAAAAAAAAAAAACCTGATGAAGAGGCACGGAGTTTCAACTGCTTAACATAAACATAATGTGATTCTAGAACTTCTTAAGCAAATAAGCAATAAGTTAAGTATTGAACATCAATGTAGTTGCATCTTAGATATTACAGGAGCATTTCGATAATCTTCTACTGCTTGATTCGCGAAAACATATATAACCTGTCCTCAGGCTTTGATGTCAAAAAGTATGGATGGATGGATAAGGATACATAAAATGTAAAGCATGGATTACCATTACAATCAAAAGCACAAATTTTATGGCAATTTTTCATTATATGTACATAAGAGCTGAACAAAACTGCTCTTTTATGGGATCAGACCAAAACCCTTCGTTTAGTGAATTGAGTCGGTTCTTTTTTGCGATTCGCCGCTCACTAAAATTAGCCTTGACGAATAAGATCGGAAACAGGAAGCGAATCAAGAGAAGTTGCGAGGATGGGGTTTAAATCGAAGAAGGAGTAGCGGAGGGATTCATTCAATAAATCGCTAACATGTTGATTGATTTCTTTTAACTGAAGTTTTGAGATTCTGTAAGACATCTTTTGTACAAAGAAGTAACAACACAATTCTAAAAAAAATTGTCCAGAAAGTTGAGAGACGACAAAAATTAAACTCACTTTTTAACATGGGAAACATTCCTTTCTGCCCTAAATTGGAAATCGAACTTTCCTAGCAGGCTTTCAACAAAAGCTCTCGAAGAAGCTATCGCACGGTTTCGTCGAATCACCGTTCGCTCTCTCAGTAAAATAAATACAGTTTTTGATAGCAAGCGGATTGTACATCCCTAATGTATATGTAAATAATTTTTAAACAAAAGTACAGTACATTTATACATACAGGGTATTCAGGAACGAGGTCAGGAAAAGAATGTTGCATATAACAAAAATGCATGTGCTAAATCTATTTGTACAGCTGAAAAGAACTCAGAGTGTACAGGGAATTTGACCTCTTTAGCTTTCTTTCTACAGCGCTCGGCGGACTTAACTACTTTATAATTCTTTCTGATGGCGGATTGTGAAGGAGGTAATTATCGAGCAGAGTTAGTCCTGCTTTTACAGTTTCCGAAATGTATATCATTTTCCCTTATTCGGAGAATGCATACCTCCTTCTCCATGTACAACAAGGCATTACATTCCTTTGTTTGTATTCTTCTCGATATTTTTAGTGGAAACGTGCTTAAGTTTAGCTCTTTCTTGATCCCTTAATTTCTTTCTGATTATAATTTTAACAGAATTATAACTGGAATTAGCTGATATTTTCAGTTTTTGTTTTAAAGAATACGCATGTTATACACCAGAGTTTCTCAAACAAAAGGGGGATTTCTCTCTTAGGAGGGGAATTTCATAATGTTAGGGGAATGAGCTTAACCTTTTATTTACCTGTTAACTAATAATTTTAGTTTATGACTGTGAAAAACGCCCACCAACGGCCGAGCGGTAAAGTCGCTGAACACTGGGTAGTTCGGTCCGAGGTTCGAATCCCGCCAAAGGGCAGGCTGCATGGGCGTTTTCGTGGTTTTCCCCATGTTTAACGTGTATACGAGCCAGTTGCCCTTAGAAAGTCCTTCACGAAGGCATCCCTCCCCCTTAGGCAGATAGCCCTAGTTTGCCATAATTAAATACACCACCACACTACAAATGTAAAAAACAGGTATTGTTCAAGTTTTTGTCTTTAGCATTATTTTCTCTACTTTTCCTTGTTTAATTTATTAAGCGCATTAAGAAATAATCTAAATTTAAATAGATGTATATTTTTTTTTCTAGTTTTGAAATGGAAGGGACAAATGATCGTCTAGCAATGGTGAAAGGGTGTTGGTAGCAAATAAAGATTCAGAACCACTCTTACAGTTATTATTCAGACGGCAACAGGGGAAGGTAGCATTTGATAAAGTTTATCAATAACGAATTTATTATAGAAGTAATAAAAATGCAGTTTACTGGATTTATATAAAGGGAAAACTAAAAACTGCATGGGAGAACAAAGGTGAAGGCATTTTAGAAAATAAATTTCACTTTTACCAACTTGAGATAGCTAAATTTTAGTCGAGAGCTAGCAGTTACATCAAAATCCAAAGAAGAAAATATTCCAATTTCCTAAATTTACATAAAAAACTCAGAAAATTACACGATAAAGGTTTTGGCCATAATAGCTAATATTGCGCCCTTTCAAGCGTTAAACTGCTCTATACAATTCCAGGCAAAATATCGAAAATACCAAGTAAACTTCTTTAAAAGTAGATGATTTAAAAGGTACCCGAATTTGTCCTTTTGAAATAAGAAGAGAGAGGGGAAAGCAATGAAAATCGCGAGAAATTTATTTACGGACGGAACTTTAAAAAGTTCTTGAAAACTTTTTGCCAATTTATACTATTCATACTGATTTTGGAAACACTTCCAATGAGATATATAATGATCCTGTGCTATTTCGCTTTCTTCCCCATAAATAAGAGCATGTTGTGAAAGATTATCGTATTTAATTAAAAGTTTGAATTGAAATAGCAGTTTTAAATTGAAACTGGATTCGCGATTACCCTAAAAAAATGTCCTCGGAGAAAAGAAATTTTACAGTTTTCATTTAAATCAGAATCTCTGCATAAGGATGCAAGATTTCGGATTTGTTAGTGACTATAGCCATAGCGTAGGAATCAGGACTGTTCTCAAAATATGTTCGGCCCTTGCCTATCAATGATGATTAGCTTTCCATGCAAGAAACTTCATGATTTCCTGCAAGAATTTTATGATTACTTTCTCAGTGCTTGGAAATGCTGTTTTAACGATATTAATGTGGAATTGCAAACGAAATTCACAGGAGAAATAATATTGTAGGACATTAGCATCATAGTAGATTAAATTTCCTCATCAAAAGTATTCATCCTTAAACTCGGGAGCTGATACAATGTTTGAAGAATGAAGTTAACACCGTGATTTTGCATTGATTGTTATTATTTAAATTTACATATGCAGTATTTTAGAAAGATGAAGCGATTCAGTATATAAAGCAAGAGCTTTACATATACAAATATAAGAAAGTGCTCTTTCTAATTTACAAAAGTTTGACTGAAGCATGTATGAAATTTTAAAACCATACCCAAAAATTTCTGATGTCACGAACACTGGACCTCCCGTTAACACCGTGTTTTAAATAGCAACGAGCTTTAAATATCATTTCCAGTTGATCGTTTGCAAACAAAACCTAATTTGTTGTCCTAGTTGAAAAATCGTCTGAGCTTAATATTCATAATCCATCGATTTTCTTGAGATACAGTAAGACCCCGCTTAACGCTGTTTCGGTTTAACGCTCTTTTATTTCAACCCGGGGATTCTCCGAAATTGTCCGCAGCGCTAGGTTTCCAAATAACATATCCGAAACAGTGTAGTTGTGTTTCTTGCTTGATGGACGCATTTTTATCATTTGAAACATTTGTTGACATTATTGTAAGTTTAAATTTGTATAATACTATAACGATTAATACAGTGACAAATATTATGATCTTTAGTTTTTATCATAGGTGATAATAAAAAACAAGAAAAGAAAGCAACCAGAAAAAGCATTTCACTGGAAACTCAAATGCAAGTGATTAGAAGATTAGATTCTGGTGAACGTCAATCTCAAATTAGTGCTGCATTGATTTTGGCAACTTCAACACTAAGGGCAAGTCTTAAGAATAAAGAAAAAATACTGTCATCGGCAACTGCAACTACGTCAAGCTCTGCAACTAGAATTACCCGTTCTAGAAAAAACATTATAGAGGAAATGGAAAAACGACTGTCTATATGGATTGACGACGAAATTGAACGCAATATGCCATTAAGCCAATCTATCATAATGCCTTCTTCACAAAAAGGCAGAAAATTGGAAATCCAGAATAGACTGAATGATCTGATTGAGAATTTTATTTGTTTTTAAAAGTATATGCGTTTATATTGTTTTTATTTTTGTAAGAAATAAATGTTTGATTTTATTTTTATTTAAAAAAAAACATCATTAAATTTAATGCCTAACCATTTTTTATCCGTCTTCCCCTAACCCCATTATTTACATGTTAAGATCGCCTCGCTTAGCGCTGTTTCGCATTACGCTCTACTTCGATGGAACGTATCCCCCGCGTTAAGCGGGGTCTTACTGTATTTTATTTCATATTTAGCGAAAAACTAAAACTATTAGTTAGCTGCCTTAACTGAAAAAGTATCAATTGTTTTATTTACAGACGGTAAAATAGAAAACTAATATCAAATTGTTTTTAAAAAATCTGATGAAATGTCATTCACCACATGACTTCCTTGTACGGAATATTAAATTATACGCCCTTTTTTTATTTCATTTAAACTTATTGGATTGAATTAAATCTACTTCGCCGACAGCACATAAACCACAATAGAATAAATGCACTCTTTAAAATTCACTATATTTGTTTACTATAACGACACTCTGGCGCTAGATTCACTTAACAGTATTATATTTCGTTCATATTATAACTCAGAATGCACAAAATTTGTGTCATTTAAAGAATTATCTAATCGTTGCCACATGTTCATTTCAAATACTATAATAAAGCTAGAACGATGTATAAAAGAAATTGAGCAAACAAAACAAAAAAGAAACAGTTTTTCACAGACGATTGAGTATTTCTCATTTAATTAATTCCGTTCTCACTTCGCGACAAGGTAAAATACATAAAAACTCAAAATATCTATATTAAAAGTTACGAAGTAAATCTTAAACACTTATTTCCTCGAAAAAATTCCAGAAAGGATTAAGCATGATTTAATTCGCAAAAATAAATGAAGGCGTTATCTTTGTTTTTGCGAAGCTTAGTTTCTCTAGATTGGCAATGAAATCCACTACTCTGCTGTTTCAAATGTAAACAAGCAATGGCCGCCATCAAAAAAATTATTAGGTTTAGCGGCACTTAAAAAACTTTAAAATTGTTGATAATTCTAAAAATATTGCATACACATTTACTAAAGGCATAAAAACCTTAAACGGAAGATAAGAACAACATAATTCAATCATTTTTAAAGCAAAAAATGTACAATTTACAAACATATGAGAGTAAAGAAACTGAGATCACTGAGCTGGGTAACAGAGTACGTTTGGTGCGGTCGATTGGCAACCAAAATACGAAGTGCAGATCCACATGTTATAGCAGTCCTATATACAAAATGTCAACGTTCTGAGGCTACTCGTTTTCGAGTTATGCGAGATACGTACGTACATACGTTCGTACAGAAGACACGAAACATTCTCTTCAGAATTCATTTTAAAGCAGTTTTATAATTTTTTTTTTGTAGGAAAAGAGTCTTTTAATCTGTCCTTACGTACAGATATCACGCAAAAACATCGTTAAATTGCATTCGATAGCGGTCAAAATGGATATTTTCATAGAAATATGCTGCCAGAAACTTTTCGCGATTACAATACTTCCTTTTTACTTCGTACAAGGAAGAAAAAAGAGCTCATTTTTAAAATATTCAGAAAGTTCTATATAGTTATTTCAGTTGATTTTAAAAATCAATCCACATTAATTTTTGTTTTACAATAATTTGTTATCCCTCATAATGAATACGGAATGAGAATGAGAATGAATATGGCTATACTACTGTGATTAAAATATGTCGACAATGAATACATAAAACACAAGATTTCAATTTATTGGCCAATAGTTATTACATCCAATATTATTTCAATATTTATGTCAAATTTTATTAAATGCCTGCGACTGCTATTAACTTTTAGTAACATTTTCTCAATTCTCGAAGAATGTTGTGGAGTGGGTTTTCGTGAAACTCCTTCAAGATCTCAGCGAATTTTCTTTTATAGTACCAATAATCTCAAAAAAGCATCCAGGAGGCAACAGTTTTAACCATTGAAATAACAGAAAGGTGCACAGTGTCATAATAAGTGAATACGAAGCTTGTGACTTATAAACGGTATTTTCAGAATTTGAGGCCGAAACTTTAAGACAAGTAGCAGTATTCTGAGCAAGTATTTAATTATGGTGCAAAATCCATCTTATTTCATCACAATTCAAATCGTTATCCACAAACTGATTCCCGTAAAACACAGGAAAACATTCAAATAATACTCTTTACTAAATCTGGTCACACGACAGAAATTCGTTATTTTAATAGGTTTCTCTTATGAAAACTATTAAAGTAGCTTATTTTTGCAATAATCTGAGGGTTATGTGTTAACTGTATGAAGATATTAGCATAATTTTAAGGGGCAGTAGAAATAACATATTTGAAAATGATTATAATGAATGAATTCAAATTTATTTTTGAAACGTTTGATTGTTATTAGCCTCACAATTACATTTTAGCTGCCAAAAGAAATTATGTTAGCTAAAAATTACTTTTTACTTTTTAATGCAAACTAAAACTAAGTAGCTTTAAAAGCTTTCTTTGCATACTTATTTTAATGTTTATTTTAGTAGGTTTCTCTTCTGAAAACTATTAAAATACCTTATTTTTGCAATAATCTGAGGGTTATATAGCTTTTTCTAATTTAAATTAATTAGTCAAAAACATTACTACTCATTACAACATTAATTAGTGAAAAACAAGCTTACAGTCTTGTGTGCTATTTTGCAGCATCAACGTCCCTTCTTCCTCATCTATGAATTCCTGAAGTTGCTCCGATGATGGTTGTCTTAGAGGCTCCATAGTATTCTCTGATAGATCTGTAAATTTGTTGCTTCCACAAGTTGTTGCGAGTACGAAAGCAACACACAAAAATTTAAGTGTTTGCATTCTTTTTCTTAATAACTTGACGTCTCCTTCAAAAACACTTCCAAAATAAATCTCGAATGTATTAATAAAAATATTGTCAGGAATTTATTTCATTATCTTAAGAACAGAAATTTTCTATCTTTCGTTTACTAAAAAAATGTATAGTTTTTTTCCTTTAGATGACCGAGGTTTAACTGTAATTCCCAGAGAACAGTTCTTGACATTTATTAGTGAACTTTAAATGGGACCTCTTTAAATTACTTTTCAAGCATCTGACAAAACAAGGAAAAAGGCAACAGATTGTTACACGTTTACTCAAATGATCTGTTATTGAAATCCCAAAGCTGATAAGAGCGATAAATTCTTGGCTTACTTGTTTGATTGATAAGAAATGGAAGATGAATAAAAAGGTTGACAGAATGAAAGGTGTAGATGTAAATATTGAAAATACAAAACATTATCTTTGAGAGATAATAGAAAAAAAAATTTCCCTCCTCCATAACAATATAACTGTTATAAATATCTTCGTAAAAAAATTACACTACTGTTACAATATTTCCTTTGAAACTGTAATTACTGCTGATTATTCGTCGCACTAAATTTGTAGATAGAATCTGAAATTTCAGTTCCGGTGATATTCATGAAAAGTTTCAGTTCTTTTCAATTGATAATTTTAAAAAAGTTAATAGAAATTTAATTGCTTACTACTTGTCCCATTTGTAATCTTTATTTTATTTTTACGCATTTATTTTTTTAACTTCACAATTTTGCAGTGAAATTCTGCCAGTATTGAAATCTTCAATTTTTTTAAAGTATAAATAAATATTCTTATCTAAGAATAATAATATATAAATAAATATTCTTATCTAAGAATATTTATTTATACTTTAAAAAAATATTCTTAGATAAGAATATTTCTTGTTAAAAAAATAGAAAAAGTATAAAAGGCTCTTTATAAGCAATAAACAAAATGCAAGTTTTAGAGACATTTAGCAACGCAGCGCTATTTGATGAAATTCCAGAGTATCAAAATGATATACAGTCAAAAGTCGTTAATCCGGACTCATCGGGACTTCGGCGATTCCGGATTATAGATTTTTCCGGATTATAGATCATCAGTTTAAATCGCGTGAGATGGCATGCAGAAATTCTAAAATTAAAAACATGAAACCGTAATTTATGAAATAAAGAACAATTATGATCTAAAGGGTATCAAATTTTACAAAAAAAAAAGCTTAATATTTATTTGTTTACTTTATTAAACATTTCTTTCAATGCAAGTTGTTTAAGTTGCTTCGTTTTATATGATAATAATCTCTTTAATTCTATAAACAGACATAATTTTTTGTTCAGTTACAAAGTTCCGCTGTTCAAGTTCCTTTAATTGCTGTGCCGAGAATACCGACTAACTTGTCAATCGAAATTTTTTCGTTTTCACTAACCTCTCTGTCACATTCTTCATGTCTTTATCCATTTTTTGCAGCAATTCCACTTTTTGTTTGATGGACATCGAAACATACTTTCGTTTTTTACGATCCTTTGGGAGCTCCAGAATCGGAAATTCTATTTGACATAATCGAAAGTTCAAGTTTACTTTTATAGTATTGCTCTTACAGTCTGCAAAAAATAATAAGCCGCATCCAATTCGAAAATTAAGGAACAACGCAATCATCAACATTAACTGAAATAGATAATTAGATAATTTTAGCTTATACCGTCCGTTATACATAAAACGCGCACACGAAAACGTATTCTGCGCTTGCTCACAAGCAAATGCGCAGTCGTAAGATGTCTTACGCGCACGCGTAAACGCCTATGCGCATGTGTCAACGCGGCGCATGCGCAGAAAGTTTTTAGCTTTGAGGTCCTGATTATAGATCATTCCGGATTATGGGTGTCCGAATTAACGACTTTTGACTGTATTTCGAGTATAATCGTTTCCCAGGAGAGAAATATAAAATAATAAAAAAATAACTATGCTCACAACCTGAGCTTGCATGTATATAGGAAATGTCCATTTGTAACTACTGTTGCGTCACTTAGATGTGTGCGCCCCAGAATGAGAGTGGACTGAAAAGGCAGACCCTTCTCCATACAAAGTTGCAGTTTTTAGTCCGAAGGGGCTTTGTCCCTGGAGGACTATTGTTTTCGTTTTGCGATTTTGCGTCGAAACCCTATAAACGGCGTATTACTTTTCAAATCGTTGCCACCAAATACTATCACCCTATATTATATTTGAAGAAATTAAATAATAAAGAATCTGCATCAATGTATGTATGTTTCTCGCATTGTGATGAAACAACGGTACCTAGGGCCATCCAATGTTGAATGACGTAATCCTTCTACGAATACGGGCATTTGAAAGCCCAAATTTGAAATTTGGAATTTGTTTTATTATCGATTTCATATTTTGTAAAACTTTAGCGAATTTTTGATTAGAAAACCCAACGATTTAAAAGGGAGCAATGACAACACTCTATGGGGGGGGGGGAACTTTTTTATCTCCAGCGCGAGGAACTGTGTATCGGAAATTCTAAAGATATGCTCATTTTAAAATTCTTTCGCGACATTTCTGTTGAATTGAATTTTATAGTTTAAGTGCAAAGAACATGATATTTAATAAATAAAGGTAACACACAAAACGTTAAAAAAAAAAAAAAAAAAAAAAAAAAAAAAAACTTTGGACGTAATTTAGAATCTAAAACCTTTCAGATTTTTCCTCTTCTATTTTTCCTTTTTTTTTTTTTTTTTTTAGATATTTTTCCCCCAATAACTGAAAATAATAAAAATCCACGTAAAGTTTTATAAAGATTTACCACGTACAGGTGCGTAAATCACAGTTCGACGGTTCTGTAACGATGGTTTAAAGATAAGGTGATAACGTAAATAATATTGGATTGCATATTTTATCTTAGCCCTATAATTTGAAACGAGATTGCTGATTCTTTGCTTACTCTAATTGACAATGAAGACAATATTAAGATTCCGAAGAATTTCTGCGACGCCCCTTTAGACTCGGTTAAATTTAAGGACTATAATCCCAATGTTCCCTTAAACAATTCCCTGGTAACCGCTGAAAATTCCAGTTTTTATAGTAAAACATAAAATTTGTCGATTTTTAGGAAATTCTTCGGCTTCCTTTTTGTTTAATATTTTGTCGATACTAACGATAGAGTTTTCCCTATTTTTTTTTTTTTAATTGAGTAAATTTCGACACATTGTTGGTGATATTTCAATGAGTCGTGCTTTTAAAAATATTCTACAGCTTTGTTTCAATTTTTTAAAGGTTCTGAAATTAATTTTTCAGTGCTCTGATTTTTGTGGGCATCTACTTCGTTCGTGGACAATAGGACACGATATTTGCACAAAGAAACATCCATTTTTTTAGAACATGACAGCCAATGCCATTTCGGAAAACCATTGCATTTGAAATTTCAGATTTTTTGATTTTATAAGTGTAATCGGAAAAGTATAATTTTTATCGAGGTACCACATATTGCTTAAAATAGCAATTATCTCAAGATTTGGTACGCGTGTTTTAATTTTAATGTAATTTGCTATATCAAAACCAGTTGCTGTAGTATTTGAAACAGGAGATTGAATATTATTTCCATTGTTTTGGCTTCAAATTGAATATCCTAAAGTTTCACTTATTTCTATTTACTCTTGTACATCATCAATCATACAACACCTTTCAAACTGATTGTGAGGCAAACCGCTTGCAGTAGACAGAGAATCTTCTTTCACTTCCAGAATATTTTGTTTTTCATATTCACGTACTTTTTTCACTAAATACAATAATGTGAGTTGTTTTCTTTTACGATTTTGATCATTAATGTTTGAAATATAATTCAAAAATCACATTTTTGAAACTTAAAAATCAAAATGGATTTACTTTGCATTGAAAGAATGTGCGCGTTACATACAGGGGGCCCACCAGCGGCCGAGCGGTAAAGTCGCTGAACACTGGTAGTTCGGTCCGAGGTTCGAATCCCGCGAACGGGCTGGCTGCATGGGCGTTTTCGTGGTTTTCCCCATGTGTAACGTGTATACGAGCCAGTTTCCCTTAGAAAGTCCTCCACGAAAGGCATCCCTCCCCTTAGGCAGATAGCCCTCGTGTGCTTTGCCATAATTAAATACACCAACACCGTTACATACAGTTTGTTTATCATAAGAAAAGCTCTCGCCAGTTAGTCTGCAGCTGCCTGTTGCTGTAGAAACGAGACTTGACCCATTTCTCGCAGGGGTGTCTTGAAGATTACTTTTCAGTTTGCCATCTTGGCGCATTTAAAGATGAACTGGCGATATTCACTTTTTGTTTTAGTTTCAAGTAAAATGCTCGCTGACCATTTGTCGTCGACCCCGACATCCAATTTCCGAAAATGAAAATTCGGTGGTGTAAAGTTTTTGCAGCCGAGAAACAGTCTTCGATTTTTCCGCGTGAGGTAGTAGCTGAATTTGCCGACTCCCTGTAGCTATACAACAACTGAGTGTACAATCATACTATTATTTTATCTTCCTTGTTTGCAAAACCATAGATAGCATCTTAGAGCTCTACTTGATTGCCCCATTTTCAGTGATATAGTATAATATATAGTATAGACACACTTCATAAATGCAAAATAAATTATATAGTTCTCCCCTCTAGCTACTCTACAACAATGAGTTCAATCATATAATGTACAACAATGAGTGTACAATCATACTATTATTTTGCTTTTTCTTTCCTTGTCTGCAAAACCATAGATGACGGCTTAGAGGACTACTTGATTGCCCCATTTTCTGTAATATAGTATAGTATATAGCACATACACACTTCATAAATGCAAAATAAATTTATACTCATAGTTCTACCCTCTAGTTACTCGACTGTGAACATTCAAAGCAATTTCTTCAATCTTTGAACAAAGTTCTGCTATGTTTTTATTTCATAATTTTCTGTTTATTTATTGCTTTAATATTTATAAAGCACATTAAAAATAATCTAAATTTAAGTAAATGTATGTGTATATTTCTAGTGAATGGGGCAAAAATGGTTGAGAACCATTGCACTAGACAAACCTGGTTCACGTGGACATACTCATGCCTTTGGCTGTTAGGATTGTCATAATAAATCTACTTTTCATTTGCGATAAAAATCTAATGACTAAGAATTTCATCATTAAATGGATATGGAATCACCTGTTTATATCACCAGTTTAAGTAAAAGTGTTTATTTACATATCATGCTCTCAGTAAATAGTTTTTACGAGCATTACTTCTTTTCCTATACCTTCAGATAAATCAGAA